ACAGATCGACAACCATTTTGTAAGATCCTAAACTACAGTCAAGAGAATTAACAAGACTATCTCCTTTATCTATCTATTATATTAACAAGATTAACGATGTTTGTTCTTTCCATAGACGGATCATAAACGCATTTCGAAATAAAGATGACATATATCAGTTGATATAAATGCCTTTCTGATTGTTCAAATAATCTCTTGTTCTATATCTTCTTTATCTATACCTGTTAGTGAAACAAACCATTTTAAAGGTTCAGCAGAACTATGATTATGCGAGCACACGTCTGCATTATTCTCTTCTTCTAGAGAGAAATCAGGATTAAATTATTCGAAATATTCATTCATTCTTCAGTATCGCAGTGTAACGCTCGAACGACTTTGAAGCCGAAAGCAACTACATAGTGTTAGCTGCTTTTCTGACACAGAAGAATAACTGGTCGCATCATAAGCTGGGATCATCTCGACTCATTCAAAAATCTGAGTGTTTTGGATGCAAAGGTTTCGATTTCGAAATCTCTTTGAATCCTGTTAGCTTTATCTCTTGATAAACTTTCCATTACTATTTTGCATGTTAACTTCATTTTACACTTTACGCATACTGATTATTTTCGTAATAAGCAAGTAATCTGAACTCTTACGTCTCTTTAGCATCTTGCCATAAGGAAGATTTCGTTTTGCACTTAGAGTAAGACATTTCTGATTTCGATCGAACATCGATTATTCGAAATCGAAAAATAATTGAAAATGTCTTAGTCTAAGAGCAAACGAAATCTTCCTTATGGCAAGATGCTAAAGGGGCGTAAGAGTTCAGATTACTTGCGTATTACGCAAGTAATCTGCATGCGCAAAGTGTAAAACAAGCCCAGCTCATAATGACGAATATTACGTTTATACAGTTTTAAAGCAAAAGCCATGTCTCGTTTTTTTTCTAAAAAGACTGGGGGTTATTATTTTCGGACACGAAATTAAATGAGCTCGGTGTACTTAATTGGCTTTAAAATGATAGAAATGAGCTCAGTTGTAATAAAATTATATTTTTTTATATAAATGAGCGTTTTGAGCTCGAAAATTTATTAATCTAATAAAAAAGAGATATTTGAGCTCGGAAATTAATTTATACTCTGAAAAGAGACAAATGAGCTCGGTATATTTTATTTTCGTCGGTAAAAAGAGAGAAATGAGCTCGGTAATTAATTTATGAAAATTAATTAATGATTCTGTGAGTAGTAAAGTATATTTAATAAGAGAAAAATAGTTCAAGAACAAAAAGTGCTAGATTACAATAGTTTTTCACCAATATTCAGTCTTTTGTTAAAGCTAATTTAACGTCTTTGGATGACCTTTTCCCCTTCTTATCCCAAATGCTTGTGGAACTTTACGATGATCCCGTTTTCTACAACATACTGTTCCATTTTCCATTATCAAGTCTATGCTTTAATTTGTATAAATTGATGAGCTTTTTTTAATCATATACAAATCGATGAGCTTTTGATACTCAAATAGCTATAAAAGTCTGTATGCGTGTCCGATCAGTACATTCTCAATTAAATCTGTTCTTTCATAATGTCTCGCCGAACTTGGCACGAATGTTTCTCTTCTGCTTCTGAAACTGATATCGAATCTTTTACAAAAGAAAATAAAGTTTCTACTTATCGTACCGAGCATTTTCAAGCTGGTAAAACTACTACATATCGTTGTACGGAATACAGAAAATATCCTCTTTGCCTTTTCAATTAAAGTCAAAAGAATCCAATAATAAATTTACAGTATTTAAATCTGAATCGCATAATCATGATCAACGTAACGATACAACTCGTCTCAAATCGCCTATTCGTGATACTGTTCGCCAAATGTCGGATAAAGGTATGACACAAACACAAATCAGGAAGCTGTGTCAGTAATTCATCCAAGTTTAACCGTAGACACAAAAATTAAAAATATTGTTCAGTATAGTCGTTTAAAAACTCGTAAAAGTATAATATCAATTGATGATTTGCGAATATGGTGTAACCAATATCTTAATTGTCCATCTCCAGATAAATTGCATGACGTATTTGTGCCATAGTATGAAGCTATTGATATTAATCATATATTTATTTGTATTACTACACGTCAGTTATTATCTGCGTGTAAATATTCATCTACATTAGCTATTGATTGTACATATAAAATAACATACAATGAATTACCTTTACTCGTTTTTGGAACATCAGATTTAAATCGACATTTTCATCCATTAGGATTATGTTTAATATCAACAGATGAATCAGCAGATACATTTAAAACTTTATTTCGTGTATTAAAATCATATGTACCACTAATCATTCAACAACCATATGATATTACTCATGTTATGGCTGATGGTGCTGCTGGCATTACCAGTGCCATGTGTGAGTTACCACAAGCACGCCGACTTATGTGTTGGGCACACGTTTTTAGAGTCACTGTTAATAGAGTTTCGAAAAGTGGAGAAGATTCATTCTTGTGTAAAGTGCTATTATTACCTTTTGAAAGATTATTGTTTTCGGAGTTGATATGCAATGTAGTGCTGAAGAGCGAGAAAAAAGGGACATTTTGATGAACACACATGTGTATGATATCGAAGACGATGATTTTATAGTACTCCCGGATGCGAATATTCAAAATAATGAAAATCTAGGAATAAATTATGACATTATTACTTCTGGAAGCAATAATTCAAGCTCAGATGCTGATGAAGACGAAAATCAAAGTGCGGAAAATTCCTGGTTTAATTTGAGCAACAGAAGCACATTGACCGCTAGCCGTTTCTCTTCTTTTAAAAAAAACCTGCGTATCGATCATTAAAAAAAAATTCTACTTTATTTTTCATCGGGGTAAGACGTATGCAGTCTGTTTTTTAAAGTATTAGCGTACTGCACATATACGTATTTTTGCCTTTGATTTAACAAGTAATCAAATATGACATTATCTTCT